ATTAGTTTTTTTGAGAAAGTAAAAATGCACAAAGTTTCCTGTGAGGGGTAGGTTTAGGGGCAGGGTTGGTGTAGGGCAATAGAATATACGGTCTGTACAGTATAAAAACCATTACGCCTATGGAGAGTCCTCATAAACCATAAAAACAAACTGTGTGTGTGTGAGTGTGTGTGTTACAACATAAACATGGTATATGAGGACCGCACTTCCTTTGTCCCCTAAACCAAATGGCTTAAAAAAATGTTTTGTTTTTTTTTTAATCTAAAAAATGCCTGTAGTTTTGTGTGAGGAGTAGAGTTAGTGTAAGGGGATAGAAAACACACTCCTGCTGCCGCTGTATTAAATAATAATAAGAATATTTTGGAATGATTCCTGCATGAGGACAGATCTCATCTGTGTCTCACAGCAGCCGCTGATTCAGTGCAATATAAAAACTCATTACTCACTGTTTCACAGTTATGAGAACAAATCCATGTTTAGGTGCCTTCATCAGTTTAACTACATGATAAATGAGTGAGACACGCTGAGGCTCCCAGCTAACAAAAACATATTCTTTCAACCTCTTCTTAACGTTCCCAATAAGTTATGGAAATATTATGTTCTCTGAACAATTAAACTTTAAAAACGTTTTTTTTTTCTTGGTATATGAATGCTAAGGGAACGTTGCATTTGATCATTTTGCAAACATTATGGAAACGTTAGATTTGAATGTTCTCTGAATACAACTAATAACACTTAAACCATTAGATGAACGTCCAGCTAAATGTTTTCTTACATGAACAATGTATGAATAAAGGTTTTGTGCTAACGTTTCGAGAACATTATTAAAGACCAGATAACAGATACTGGAAGAACGTTTGTTCTTCACTTCGAGAGCATATTCTGAGAAGGTTCCCTGGTTGACAGTGAACATGCGCACTATAATTAATCATGTCAGTGTAATCAGTTAACCATCAGACTGATAATCGCTGTCTCAGACGCTGAAGGTTACATTAGACACGATTCACACAGAAAGCAAAGAGCTGAAGAATCAAACTCACTCGATTCATTCTCACTGAACAATCACCACATACGCCTTTGTGTACTCATTCACACAGAGAGAAAAGACCCAAAGTGAATATTTAGATATGGTTTATTTATGAGCTTCTTGTGACACAGAGTAATTATCTAAATCAAAAAGAAAATCAGAATGAATCGTATGCGTGCTAAATCTGAATAAACACTGTGTATAATGTACCATATTATGGTTAGTGAAATAAGCTTTAGAGAGAGATCCGAAGACATTAAAATGTTCATATTCCTGATTCATATTTCTGGAGTGATGGAACTCAAGGGAAATGAAGGATCTGATGTGATGTTTGAATGGCTTCATATCAGCGGGGCGCTTTAAAGGGCACTTCATCAAACGTACGCAGCGCTGAATGTTCCAGTCTTTACTAGAGGACTTTCTCAGAAAGAGCTGGTGGGCTTCGCTCTCGTCACGCCGTTCATCCAGAGGTACAGAAGAAACAGCAGTCAGCGTTACAAGAGAACCCGTGGAAGCTTGTTTCTGACACAGAATAAACATATCACAGAGGTAATTGTCACTTAACTCACAATTATGAGAATTATGATGTAAAAACACAGAATTGTGAGGGGGGGGAAAGTCTCAATTTTGAGATATACTGTAAATGTACAGTTATGAGAACAAAATGTCCAAATTTTGAGTTACAAACTAACAATTTGGAGACAAAAAGTCAAAAGTTTGACAAAACCTCACAAATGTGAGAAAACAAGTCCACATTTTGAGATATTAACAAACAATTGAGGGAAAAAAATCTGAATTGTGAGATATAAACTTGCAATTGCAGGAAAAAAAAACAGAATTATGAGACACATATGTGTCCCTGCAGCACAAAAGCAGTGTTAAATCGCTGGGGTATATTTGTAGCAATAGCCAACAATACATTGTATGAGTCAAAACTATAGATTTTTCTTTTATGCCAAAAATCATTAGGATATTAAGTAAAGATCATGTTCCATGAAGATATTTAGTAAATTTCCTACTGTAAATATATCAAAACTTAATTTTTGATTAGTAATATGCATTGCTAAGAACTTAATTTTAACAACTTTAAAGACGATTTTTTTCAATATTTAGATTTTTTGCACCCTCAGATTCCAGATTTTCAAATATTGTCCTCTCCTAACAAACCATACATCAATAGAAAGATTATTTATTCAGCTTCCAGATGATGTATAAATCTCAATTTCGAGAAATTGACCCTTATGACTGGTTTTGTGCTCCAGGGTCACAAATGTGCAATTCTCATAAATAAAGTCCTAATTCTGAAATATAAACTCAAAAGTCTGATAAAAATTGGAATTTTCAGATATAAACTCAACTGTGATAAAGTCCAAATTGTGAGATGAAAGGTCGCAACGGAAACACGTTTCCACAGAATCCGGACTGATCTCAGGACAGACGCTGTATTTGATTTGACGAGAATGAAAACGAGGCTGCTGAACTGCTGTAAACACAGTACAGCGCTCTTTATTTACTACAGTATGTCAAACTGGCCATCAGTCCTACATTAACATCGTTTGCTGCACTGCTGTCACATCACCTCATCACTTACTAAATTAAAATGCTCATTTTGTATTTATAACTCAATTTGCTGCGAGTCTGATCAAATAATGAATCCAAACAGAGCTTCATCGCAGTGCATTGTGGGATGCAGTGTGCTCTGCTGTTAACTGCACGTTTGGAGCATGTTAGCGTGTCATTCTGAACAGATGTTATTAGACAGGTTAAATGCCTATCCCGTTAAAAAAGAACAAGTTTCTTTTTGCCAACGTTCCCATTAAGTTACGAAAATGTTATTTCTCAATGCTTTTTAAATGTTTCAAAAACTTTTTTTCTTGATTATGTAAATGTTAAATAGGAATATTTTATTTGATCATTTTGCAAACATTACGGGAACGTTACTTTTGAATGTTCTCTGAACATTCTGAAACAAGTAACATTAAAAAAACGTTAGTTGAATGTCCAACTAAAGCGTTTCAGAAATAAAATGTTCCATGAATGATGTATAAATAACGTTTTTGTGTTAACGGTTCGAGAACATTATTAAAGACCAGATCATTTTGAACAGAGGTTCTATTAAAAGACCTTATTTAAAGCAAAAATAACTATATCGTGATATATATATCGTTAATAAAATTACTCGTATGATATCCTAGACAGAATTGTCCAGCTTTCCGTGCTTTCACTGT